TGGTTAGCTTTTCTATTCAATGTTATATCATCTTCTTTGCAAATCTAAACTAATATTATAGAGAGGTCAATTTTCTGGATCCGATCATGAAAACTCACCTACGGGTAGCTTTACCATACGTGGGTGGCATAGGCTATTATTTACTTGAATGAAGACACGGGAAAATAACTAGCAACTAATTATCGTTTAAGGGAATTTATTTGATCTATCTGAAAAATAATTAGAGTCAACAAACATTAAAGAGGATACGATTCTGTCTGTAGGACCATTTTGCGCGATACATGTAAATCGGTGAGTACTAACTACGGTCATCTGCGTCGCATCAAGCTAATATTGAATTGATTGGCTTCCCGGTGCACTGGAACTTCACAGCCTCCTGTCCCACTGATGTCGGATGCAAAAACTTTATTGTTGTAACGGTGAGCAGATTCTTCCGGCACGAATATCTTGGTGAGGTTCGCTTTGACTTTTGATAAATTGCACAAATCTAAACGAGTCTCTTTCAATTCACGAGGCAGTCATGCGCTCTATATGCTTTTAGAATTGCAGTGTAATACTAATACAACACTACTTGATAATCGTGTTTGATATTTATCGATATTCTATCTGCTGCCCTCAATGGAAGATAAAATCCATAATATCTAGTTAAAAGCACCAACAAGTGGGTCAAGATCGAAAGATCAGATGATCATGGTGCGTAAACATTAATTTTACCGTTACATTGTCGGCATTTATTGATTACAAGACATTACCATTTAAAATCAAATGGTTATAGTAATTAAATTCACATTTGTTTGTTTCAAACTGTCAATCATTCTGTTTGAATTTTCACTGGTTACTAATGACGTGTACTATCGAATGTAGAATACCGTGCCAACTGTGAAACAATTACTTGACTGAACTTGACGATACCATCAATTCTTATTTTTCAAGCAATGATGATTAATGTAACAAATAAACAGTAAATAAGAGTTTACTAGCCAAAGCAAACACATCATTCATTATTTTAGACAGAGATTTAGCGGTACACATTGTATGATAATGGTCTTTACTTGCTTTTATTTGCGCCCATTACTTTTTGGTGCCCCACTATCTAAACGGCGGAAGAGGTTCCGTTGTACGTGGGAGACTCTCATTGAGGACCACTATTGTTGTCGCGTTTTACAAATTTTATCTCCTAAAATCAACACTTCGAAAACTGTACTTTTGCAAAAATATGTAAGAATTTATTAATAAAAATTTTGAAGAGGACCATTTAAGGCAATCTGTAGCTTGGGTAGGAATTGTTTCTGTTGATATAAGATCAAATTGGCCTCATCTAGCTACGATTACCGAGGATTGGTCGCCCATTTACAAGGTTAATTTTAGTATATTTACATAAGTATCCCTAATAATATAGCGGGAACATCAATGAACTATTTCCTCAAAATTTTAAAATTGACATTGTAACCTAGTATTATGGAAATATATCGAATATGGTGTCGAAACCTCCTTATGAAGTTTATACTTTTGCTATCCTATTTTATGTTGGGCGTATCGCTTATTATTCCGAAGATAATACGTACGTATGACGCTAAACGTTATCTCGAACAAATTTAAATGTTTAGAGCTTAAAATTTTAATTGAATGATAATCGTACCAAGTTAGCTTAGTTATGCAGTATATGACCAACAGATCGGGGATAATTTCGATTTGAATAAATTTAATGTTTTGGTAAAATGAGTTTGAACTGGCCGCAGTCAATGTGAGCGAAAGAGTGTTTTTATGATGTCGGTATCGCGATAGTTTACCGGAACAAGCTCGCACGTAATTTAAGTGGAGCGATGTATTGCGGTCGCACGATGAGACGCGAAACCATGTCGGCGCGCGAATCCCGTTGGGGCGGACGCCATTACCGCCCACCGCACCGCGCACGCGTTGAAAAACCGACCCCGGTATGGAGATGTCGCGCACAGATAACACACGGCGGACACTTGACGACATACAGCGCCGCTCCCGCGACATGTTTATCTTCCTAATCGGAAGCTCACACGACGAATATCCAATTATGTACTCGGACCTCGCTATACGCATTGCGTTCGTATTTACGGCACTGTCTCCCCACATCTGCATGCAAGGTGTCTATCGCGCGACCGCGCAAGTTTCTAAACAACACTCATAAAACAAACAAGATCATCATAAAGTGTGAGGCGGCCCCTTTTACCAGACTTTTTTACAATATAAACATGTTAATGCTGGGTCATGACGACTGTTAACTTTTACTGACTTAGTTTTCTTTGTAGTACCCGCAAAATGTAATACTCGTTTTCTCTATTTTCTCTCAAATATAAGCCTTTTCAATTAACTTACTACGCGGCGGCAAAGCTGTTAAGTTATATGTAAATCTAGCCAAATGTTATTTCATTATATAAGCGAAATACAGTAAGAGTAAGTAAAAGAATAAGTATAAAATCAGTAAATTTACATTAAGTGCCATTTTGTCGAAGCTGTATCTAAAAAATAAAGTCATAATTTCAGAGATGATTTTTAAACCATGTAGCGATGCTCTCACAATATTAAATAAATTGTCTTGTGTGATGCTTTGTTAGTTACGATCGCGTCCGATAAAACTGTTGATTGGCAACTTTAATCTACTGTAGCAAATTAATAGTCTACGAAGCTCGAACCAGTTCATCTATCAATTCAATGTCATTTAGAATTTAAAACTGATGGACCTAATATGTTCATACACACAATTACACTTGAAATGGAACTTTAATGACAAGTACAAAACTAATTGTTAAACTAATGATCATACACTCGGTCGGTCGCGTTTAAGCTCGACTAATAATAGCAGCAGCTAATTTCACCCAAGCTTTTCATCTGACATTAAATCTACTTCACAAAATCATATCCAATCAACTAAGCTAAAATTTAACTGCCAAGTTAGTATAGCATTGATTGGTTATAGATATTTATCTTAGTATGCAATTAAGCATTTATAAATAATGAACTTCAATTATTCCACGTTACCTTTTAAAGCGCGCTTCGTAAAATATATATCATACAGCGACGGTTAATCGCACAGATAACTGAAGATAAGGTAAATAAACATTGCTAGTGTTGCCTTAGCTAAAGAACTACGTAGGAGCACTGATCACCGGACCATATACTATAATGAACGGGTTAAAGGTAAGATGTTATCGGATGCCCGATCTGTGCAGGTCGTCTACTATCCATTGTCAATTAAAGGCCGCTGGCTAACATTGCGACCGCCTTTTGCTTGTTCTATAGTCTCTACAAGGATTGCTTCCCGATGCATAGGTACCCTACGCCTCGGGGTTGGATATTGCTCGGACATTTCCTGTATTACTACTAGGCATGGCTCGCTTTGAACTAATCTTTATTCCAAGTGTTTGCTAAATTAACATAAAATCTATTAAGGTTTTAATAGAAATCATTCTTTGATTTTATTGTTAGATGGTAAGGAAGTAAAGAAGTCATGTCACGAACACAGCTGTTAGATGTATATTAATTCATACTCTATGTTTATTTTGACTGAAAATGATTAAAACTATTATATTCCATATGGATGGTTTCGACGTTTAAACAAGACAAATACGCTGTTATATTTAAAGCTTCTGTTATAGATATATATAAATTAAAAATTTCATCTACAGAAAGTTTAAAATTCCTTTTGAAAATCAGGCATCATCAGTCTTTTGAAGTTACCATTAATCACGTAGGTAGCGCTAATTCTATAACGTTTCTGTTAAATTGCCTTTATAAATGTGGTGTTATAACCCTCATCTATTACCGTAACGCGTTTGTTGAACGTCGGCTTTCTTCATAATCGCATCATTGCGGGTCATAACCTGAACTACGTAGAGTAAACGTTTTCAGCAATACCTTCATATAGTAAGAATAATTCGAGCAATTCCTTTTACCTAACGAGCCATCAGAAACCACCATACATTGAATTTATAAATGTGCTTATAGTGTTGGCAGTGGACTTAATGAAATTTGTCAAGGTTTGCTAAGTTGGTTATTTGCAGTGTTGTAAATAATTATCATGTTGCTGCTTAGGAAAGATTTTTTATTTTTATTTTAGTAGAGACTCTTGAATCTACGTTGATGTATAGGCTGATAAAATTGTGAAACCTAAATATGAAACTTTAGACTTTAGATAAACCATCATATGAGGTTGGGGAACGGTAAAAATAACAGGATGATGCTACAGGAAAACCGGTCGACTGCATTTTTGAATTGAAGCCGAAGAACGCGAAATGCACGTGCAAAAAAAAATATGACGACGTGATCAAGCATGTTACATTGTATTCATCACTACTTTTTGGGTAGCGGTGCAAATTCGTTGCTAATTTTAATTTCTGATTTTTTTTTTAAATTTCCTACTTAAGCAGCATTCAAAATATTGACCACAATTACAGTTTTTACTCCAATTTAATTGGGTCTCATTTAAGCTACGTATTCGATATAACCTAATCACTAAAAACAATTCTGAGATAACCATGCATCAATTTTGATAATGAACAGTGCATTAAAGATAATACACGTACTCATCCCGAATTATTTCGCGTGTCATGTTATATATGTAGGTACCAAAAAATCTAACTGTACATCCGTTTGCACTTCGTTGGATTCGAGGTCATTATATCTCAGAGACTGTTCTTAGGTAATTTGACATTATTATATTGTTGTATCAGAATTTTAACCGTTTCCATTATGCCTCTCATTTCACGTAACGTTTGTTTTAAAAGACTACTATTGTTGCATGTTCTTTTGTGTTATTATATTACTTTTATACTATTATTATTAGCTCTAGATTTAATAATGTGGGCAATAATGGGTACTTGAACATTCCCTCACAAGATGCGAGCATGTTATTTTCCGTACATTTGCTCTAAGTGCTTCCTCAACGTCTAATAAGACATAATGACGTGTTATTTCTGAAGATTCACGAATTCCGATCGCAGGAAAGTAAAGTGCGTTGTGTCACTGACCTGTAGATTCCAGAACCGCTACCGCCGCAATTCTGCAATCAAGAAAAAAATACAATTATTAATTACGCAGCTCAATAATAAGCGTATAACAATTATGATATGTTGAATTATACACAACCCATTCGTAATCATATGGCTGTTGGAAAATTCTTCAGGGATATGTACACGCTAGTGATTCTCTCATTCATGGACCGAGCAACTTCCCAGTATTGGCTTGTAATTGCACTATTAACCTTAAGACTTTCCAGGAAGACTCAAAAGGTCTGTTTGCATAGCATGTGAAGCTGTTAATTTCGATATAGGGTGTTATCAAGAATATTTCACAGAATACCTTTGAAAATAAATATTGTTACGTATTTATATTATCATTAAACTTGTTCGTTGAACGTTATAGAATTGTTATTTTAGCCTAAGTTATTTATTTTCTTTAGTAAAAATTTAATAAAATTTGCTACATCTAACAGTCATATTTTTAAGTTAACTAATATAAAATTTTCAAATTGTATAATATTAATTTCTTTGTTACAGGTAATGAATACATGACTTCCTTATGTTGACGAGAAATTTAAGTAAAAATGTCCAGGTACTATAATATTTAAACGAAAGTAAAAACGAAGTTGAGTCGAAGTCGATTTTCAAATTAAATCGAGATTTAATTAGGTGTTGCAAATGGTCTTAATCACTAACAATGATGAAGTCAATTCTGTTTTTTTTTTGTTTTACATTAACAAATCGAATAATGTACTCTTTTCCCTGAAAGTTTTTTTTTAAATAGATAACCGCTATTGAATTTGCAATTAACAAATATAATTTTGTAATTTTTTTCTACCCCGGCCGTGTATTGTATACTTTATGTAACAGTAAAGCATCAACGATTCTGAGAACAAAAGTACATTATCTCCTTCATCTATTACTCATTCCGCCACTGTCAAATTAACTAGTAGTTTACAGTGAGAAAACGTCTCACAAAAAACGCGTTGCTTCATAAAACAAATGGTCCGTACATATACATACATATATATTTTTTTCATATTTCCGTTTTGGCTCCAATTACGGTACAGTAACATGCAAAAAAGCTATTTGTACGCGTCACTTTGTATATCGACCGCACGTCACTTATTAAAACACAAGCCACTTATCTCATGCCAACTCAATTTTCTCAATCAGTTCCATTAATCAAATAAACTGTTACGTCACTCGATGGACTGTACGTGTACACTATCCCACGCTTGGGTAAGTAGAGGTCCGAAAAAAATTGCCGATCTGTCAAGAACTTCACTTGTCTAGTAAGCGTGATCATTGAACCTTAAAGAATCAAGTCACACTGATACTTGGAAAATATAATTGTGTACAGTAATTCGGATGCTTGCATCACAATAGCAGTTTCATACGTTAATAAACACTTATTTTAAGAGGCTTGCAATTCTCCGGAATATATACAGATAAATATGTTATTTTTAATATGATAAGAACCTATTCCATTCTTCTTAAAAATAGTGAAAGCTTTTATATATATTTATGACATAATAATTATTATGTGTTCAAGTTATAAATAGACAGAAATAACTAAAAGTATTAAATCAATTACTGTTATTAAAATTAAACTACCTTCACTGATTCCCTTAACAAAAACAAAATCAAATAACCTGTATAATTGCGGCACTTAAATGAGAAGTTATAAGACTAGTTTTGCTATATGTTAGAGATATTGAAATAGAAATTTCTATTTTGAGATATTAAATCAATGTTATTTCGCGATGTGGAACACTTTATGGTTTTGTAATTGTACTGTAAGCATCAGAAGTCATTACTTTTAATAGAAAAACAACGTAAAATGTAATTGCAAACTTAACTCTCTGTTTCTTTATGTGTGTGTCTATTACATATTGCTAAGGCTGGTGCCATCAGAAATGCAAACACTTCACTTTTTTATTATACTTTTCTACTTCGTGTTTATTAGTTTAGACAGATGCCGATATCTATCTCGGTTAGGTTTTTTACCTCTCTTTTAATATATGCGTACATCAAAACGAGCGTTATTTTTAATGCACACTCATTATCGCGATCTACGACGTCGAATCAAATTATATACGAATGATAGGCCGACAGTTAAACCTGCACCAGTCATGAATTTGTGAACTCTTTTGATAAAATTTTTATACACGGTCGAGCAATTCTGTTCGTTTTGTTCGTTTTATTTTCCTCCAAGACACCTTAAGATAGATTAAATAGGGCGAATTATTCAACCGTTATTGCGTCCGTCCGTGATACTGTTTCATTGGTACTCGAGACCTAATTTTCTGATATTTTGTCTCGATTAGTTTGACGCGTAAATTGCCGTGTTTTGCGCCTGAGAGGTGACGAGGTGACGAGGCCGGCATCAGCACCGGACCATACCGACGTGCGCTGTCACGATCGAAACCAGCGCATTCGCATACCCATCATTGTCAAGCCAAACTGTGTTCTCATGTGAGCACGCTACTATGAGCAACCTGTTTTTATCGCCATTACGTAAAGAAGCCATTACCGTCTCGCATCGGCCCTTGCTGTACACTGTTTTAAGGTAGTTTAATCTTGAGCAGTAAATTCACATCAGATAACGGCAACTGAACTACGTACATGGGTATGGGTGCTAATGTTTGAATTCGTGATTTTGTATCTCGGTATAATCGAGCGCATTCCTTACTAACACATCACTCCATGAGGAAATCAAATATCAAACCACTTTGCGCGAATCTTAGGTCGTAAATAAAGGTTTGTCATTTACCATTCCTCTATTGTAGGTATAATAAATTAGTTATTCTAAAGCACTTTACGATCACCTATCAAATTATGTATTGCCATATAAAGCGATTAGTTTTATCCTTTCAATTTGAGACCTGTTTGAGTAGGAAGTCAGGTCAAGCACCTGTAAATATTGATTAATCACTAAGGCATGCGCCTATGCATACAATGCGTGTTTGTGTCGCGGCCCCTCGAGTACTTCTTTGCCATTAGTACTATGTAGACGCTATAAGTAATGTATAAAGCATACATGCCAATCCTAATGCGCTTATTTTAAAGTTGATAAATATTTGCTGCAGTTATGAATAAAGGATTTAGCACATGCAAATATTTAAGTTCTTTGACAATTTCTCTTCTTAACCTCTATTGAAATGTTATTTCTAATAATGTTATATTTGTATTTGTCTCGTTGTTATTTTTAATTTATAATATTGGAAAACTATAACCCCACTAACAGTGAATTCATTGTATGTACTACATACAGTTTGCACAATCTAATTATAAAACAGCTATAAGCTTATATTATAAATCTAGCTAGATGAAATATCTCGAAAACAATGTGTTCACAATATGTTAAGACCCCCCAAGAGTCCTACCGCTTTACGTGTTTCTTATTGGTCACTTTTCTTTTGAGCTCATATCGCAGAAAACTTGGTGACACTAAACGAGCCACAGATAAAACCATACATTGCAATAACAGTCACATAAAATAGCCATCGTACAATAGTGGTTTATACAACGTTACATATTCAATATCCGCTACAAAAGCCTGAAGCACATTCGCCTTATAGAGAACAGATTATTGCAATTGAAACGGAATTATTAACTATTCTTTTGAGAATGTACTGCCAATTATGCTAATAATTTCGTAAAAATCGCACCTAAATAAAATTAGAGATGAGTAAAATATCTATCGAATAAATAATTGTGCATTGACTTCCTCACATATCAATGGTAACAAATAATAATAATGGACTTCAGGTAAACCTACAATGATGTCAATGACAGTCGTCGAGAATCTACTAAGATACAATTATCACGTAAACATTAAAATTAGGCAATTGACTTGCTGGTGAAATGGTATATTTTACTCATCTCTAGTGTATATAATTCGATTAAATTCCGACAGCCGGGCATCGACCCACGAAGGTAGGAGCCTCGGCTACAATTTCGGAACTGAATCTACGTGATGCCACGCGCACACCGTAGTTGCCGTTCCACCGAATTGCAGAGCTATTGGAGGATTTCACAATGGAAAACGTGATTTTGTCTCGAGCCGCAAAGTTTCAAAATTTCGTGGAACGGTTTTGGTTTGACTACAATGATCCGTAACAATTTAAATCTGCCGTCAAATATTATCATTGTTACACCTATTTAATGTTTTGATAATCTGTTATAAATTTCGAGTCAATCAGTAATTACGTGTTGTGTGATAAAAGATTATATAAATCAATGGTAAAAATATTTTACTTCATTTCAATGGCTGTTATTTTTTTTTTTATTTCCACGGCGTGTTGATCTCTAAAAAGATTTACTGCATATAAGAAATATAACTCATAATTTGCCATACTCATCTATTTCTGACACGAATAAATTCAATTTTATACTTCTGCATTAAATGTAATAAAAACCAAATACTGTTATAAACTCAGACCGTGAAATGTTTCGTATTGCTATTGAATTATCAGCGGAACAGTAAATGCTTAGAAAGATATTTTTTTTAATCTGTATAACTTTTATTCTTATTTTAGACCTTGCACATCGTTCAGTGATCGAAAGTTTGTTTTCTTGGTTAGGTGTATTCGTGCGGATACTCACTGTTAATAAAAATGAGCATTGTTGAGATTCGGAATTGTAATAATTAGATGGTGCGAACAAGCTTATAGCACAGAAGAGAAACCCTATTTTGCATGGTAATGTAACTGTCTCTGTATAGGCTAACAGTACCGTATAGAAATAACATAAACTTCCCGTCAATGCTCTTCTTTGTAACCACCATATCAACAGAAAATTAAGAATAGCTTAAGCAGACTTTTCGTTTTACCAAACCTGTAACGTTAGGTATAAGGCATTACCTAACCTAAGCACTTGCTTAGGTAGGCAACGTTTGTCTAAGATTTTGCATGCTTCAGTTCGTCTTCTTTTTTTAAGTATGGCCTATTTGTGTTTACATAATTTCGACATTTTCACGTTATCTCATTATTTATATCTTAAATTATAATATAAAAACATTTATAAAAATATTCCAACTTACTAAATTGATTTTATCCCTTGACACATTATGACACATAACTTACTAAATTGATTTTATCCCTTGACACATTATGATCAAAGA